GAGAACGCCGCACCAGGACTATTCGCCCCGTTCGTCGTGTAATTGAGAACAAGAATGTTCCACTTCCGAACAGCTGGTCAAATTTCTTAGCTTTACCGGAAAACAAGGCAAACTTGGCCAAATTTCTGTCCGAACATTTAATTGCAAATGCACCTCAAGAAAAAGTCATTGTTGTTGCAGGTGGATTTTCCGACGGAAAAGAAGCACAATCGTCAAGCCAATTGGTTGATCCTTCTCTTTTGTGCGCAGATCACGAAGAAGCTGATACAAGACTGGTTCTACATGCTATCGTCAACAGTTGTGACACGGTTGTTGTGTCTGCCAGAGATACTGACGTACTGTTACTTCTTGTGGCGCATTTGCCAAGTATGCCTTCTCCAAATGTGTGGATGATGGCAGGAACAGCGGCCAGGCGCAAGTTTTTTAACATCAGGGCGATAAGCGAGAATCTTCCCGCGGGATCACTATCAGCGCTCCTCCCTTTCCATGCGCTGACTGGTTGTGACACAACGTCATATATCTCCAACCACTCCAAAGTGTCAGCGTGGAAGACATTTGAAGACAAACATTACCTTCTAGCGTCGCTAGGTGAAGGAGAACTATAGGCCAACAAAGTCAGGGATGCCGAAATGTTCATCTGTGCGATTTACAACTGCGGGCACATGGAATCAGTGAATGATGCGCGAGTTCTTCTCTTTTCGAAGACAAAGAAGCCTGAAGCGTTGCCTCCGACCAAGGAAGCACTGGAATTGCATATCAAGCGCGTGCACTATCAATCACTCGTGTGGAAACAAGCTTCATGCCAGGATACTATCCTGCCAAACCCGGACGGAATGGGATGGAAGAGAGAAAGCGAAGGCGGCAGTAAACTCGTCCCTCTCCTTATGACAAAGGAACCCATTCCGAACGCATGCAAGGAAATTATATCCTGCTCTTGTAAAAGTGGCTGCACGACATTACGCTGTGGCTGCAAGAAAGCAAAGTTGTTCTGTACTGGCGTCTGCGGCTGCTCTATGGACGAAAAAATTTCCTGCAAGAACAAATGCGATAAGTGAACAGAACAGTGAGGTATGATCAGAATTTAGAATACGCGGTAAGTATATTAGGGAGCTTGCCATGCACTGTGTCATATAATTAACTCTGATAATGAGCATTTATTGAATTTTTTTGAACATTTTTGCCAACATAAAGGTGAAAGATATTTGTGATTGAAAATGGCTTAAACATGCTATAATTGGATGAGTAACAAATCTAAAATATTTATTTCTCTTGAATCTATATGTGCTGTGACGTCATTCCTCAGTAACGAACCGTGAGATTGCAATCGACGATTATAAGATCCACAGACTTGACCGGTTACACAAGAAAGGTGGAGGTGTCTGTGCTTATATCAAGAAGAATATTATAGCAACTGTCTTAAAAGATTTATCGAAGGTGTCAGTCTCTCACTTTCATCAACTATGGATAAATCTACAATGCCAAAAAACAAATCAATAATAATTTGTGTAACTTACCGACACTTCTCTAAATTGTTTCGAAGATTTACTTAAGCCAAATTATGTTCAAGCTTTAACTTTGAATAAACAGATTTTAGTGCTCGGTGACTTAAATTGTAACATGCTAGAAAACGGCCAAGAGAGGAGAGCGCTAACAAATATTTCTACAGAATTAAATCTCACACAGATTATTAAAACTCCAACTAGAATCACGGCGACGTCCCAAACGCTTATTGATGTTATTCTAGTCTCATCCACAGCACTTGTTCTTAAGAGTGGTGTTATTAACACTTCTATCAGTGACCACTTACCAGTGTACGTCCTACTAAAGTTAAAGGCCCCAAAGATGGCAGCATGTTACATTACAACTAGGAGTTATAAAAACTATAATCCCTCACTATTTTCCTCTGACCTTGTCACTAAATCGGATCGTCTGTTATCCATATTATCCAACACCAACGTTAATACAATACTCGAAACCTTCAAAGATGTTCTTCACTCAACTCTCGACGTGCATGCACCGTTAAAAACCTTCAAAATTCGAAATCGATCATGTCCATATGTCACCAATGAAATAAAAGAACTCATGAAGTCTCGGGACCTACACCTCCGTCGGTTTCAACTGACACGTGATGAAGGTGATTGGGTAGTTTACAAAGAATATCGTAATAACGTAAAAACCAAAATTAAAGCCGCAGCGAAGGACCACACCTTCAACGAAGTAAGAGAACATAAACACAATTCGAGATCCCTATGGAAAATAATTAATAATATAATTCCCTCGAAGGAAAAGGAAACACAAGTTTATAGTAAAGATCCAAAAACAGTTGCAGAAGATTTCAACCTTTTTTTTACTTCTGTGGGACGGAACGCTGCTGCGACAGCCGAAAGTTTAGCCAAAGACAACAATGTTGCACTGTCAAATCCTCTGTCAAATGTAATCACTTATCCATCTGATCAACTGTTCAATTTCCAATCCGTTACTTGTACAGAGGTTCAACGCATTATCATGGCTATGCCAAGTAATAAGTCACCAGGACCAGATAAAATAGGCATGCGTGCCATCAAAGACTGTCTTCCAATTATACTGGGTCCTCTTACGCATATGATAAATTGCTCTCTAATGACAAGCACATTCCCTGACCTATGGAAGATTTCTGAAGTTATACCCCTACTAAAAGAAGGAGACCACGAGATAGCCTCAAACAATCGGCCTCTCTCACTACTCGAGGTAGTTTCAAAAGTTTGTGAAAAAGTTGTTCTAAATCAATTTAGCTCCTACCTCAAAGAATTTAATCGCATATCGTCACATCAAAGCGGGAATAGGCGTCTTCACTCCACCGAAACCTTAAACATATTTGTTACCGATACGATGTTGGAAGCCATAGACAACAAAAATCTAACGGCACTAATTTTATTGGATTTATCCAAGGCATTTGACAGTGTCAGTCATTCGATTTTATTACACAAATTGAGTTGTATCGGTGCTTCACCCGAAGCTGTTAAATGGTTCCGAGACTATTTAACAGGCAGATCCCAATACGTGCGCATTGGATCCACCAAGTCATCAGCTCGCCCAATAACCCATGGCGTTCCACAAGGTGCAATACTATCACCACTTCTGTTTTGCATCTATATTAATGATCTGCCAGGTAGCATACAATCGTGTAACCTTGACTTAACGACTCAAAGCTTTACAAATCATTCTGTATCTACGACTTGGAACAGACAACTATCAATTTAGAGGCAGATCTACAAATAGCAGCCAAGTGGTGTTTGGAGCACCAATTACTGATCAATCCAGAAAAAAATAAATTCCTTGTAGTCGGTTCAAGACCCATGCTGCAGAATGTACCTACAGAAATATCGCTAACATTTTTAGGAAAGACTATAAGACCTGTTTTATTAGCTAAAGATTTGGGAATCAATTTGGATTCGTACCTATCCTACGACGACCACATATCTAAACTCGTTTCGTCGTGTATGAGAAAACTATGTCAAATAAATCGCGTGAAGGATAGTTTCGATAATGAAACATTAAAATTGGTCATTGAGACACTTGTAATTAACAAGCTTCTGTACTGCTCTACGGTGTGGTCCAACACGTCATCTAACAATATCTATAAACTTCAATCAGTGCAGAACTTCGCGTGCAGAGTTATATCAGGGGTAGGAAAGTTCGATCACATAACTCCGGCGTTGCGCGAACTAAATTGGTTGCCAGTGGAAAAGTTATTATTGGAAAGGGATACTGCAATGGCTTACAAGTGTTTTAATGGACTTGCACCTGACTACCTAGTAGATAAATTTATAAAGCGTTCCGACATACATGATCGATCGACAAGAAATCATGACCTCTTGGACATCCCTCTGTATAAATCTGCTGCAGGTCAAAGAACATTTAATTACCGGGGTGTTAAAATATGGAATGACTTGGATGATAAACTAAAAAATATTACATCAATAACAATTTTTAAGAAAAAACTTAGGGAGATTTTGCTAAAAGAATCCTATTAAATACATTTAATATTTCATACTCTTTGTACATATTTTAACTAATTTTAAATAAGTATATGTAACATAGGTAGTTTTAGAAGTAATTTATAGTAATTTTAATATGTAATGTAGTGTTGAAAAGCCCTTAGGGGAACACGCAATAAAGTATCTATCTATCTATCTATATGTAGACGAAGGTTGTGACGTCATTTTCGACTATTTAACTGTAGATTGAGATCTGGCGACCATCATTTTCGAAATCAGCGTGTTAAATAACATTAGAAAACTACGATCGCCAACTTTTACTAAGAAATGCCTCTTGATGTACTATTTTCCGAAATTTCGTCTAGTCTACTGGTCGTAGGCTTGTCAAGCGTTGGTAAACATTGGGCTTTACGCGCAAACTCGTTTTCTCTGTGTATCCAATGCTTTCGAGGAATTGAGGAGAATGCGAGGGTTCATATGACTCCTCGGCAAAATGAAGCGAGCGAATTCTTGTACAAAGTGAGGGTTTGAATGCTTTTCGTTTGCAAAATTCTTCCCAGGCCGCTCTACGGCTCTTCTGCTCAGGCATTTTGCCGCAAGGAAAACGAAAGAAATTAACGTTTCTATTTGTCTTCAGTTGACTACCACTATTGCAGCCGTACACAGGGCAATATACATTGCTTAACTTTGACCTTCATGGTTTAATACGTATTACATGAATGCAATAGTCTGTGGGAAAATATAGAAAATAACATAGTCCGTTTATGTTTTGCGTTTTATATGTTTTGCGTTTTATATGTTTTTTAGAAAACTAAAGCATCATTTCTTACCTACCCTCGCCCAGAAAAAAGTGGACAAAATATGAATTGGTTTCCACAGTGATTTTAAAAAATTAAACTTATGTCAACTGTATATTGCATTGACGCAAGATGTTCGGTGCGCCTACACTAAGACGTAAACACTCGTCGCATATCTTCCGCAAGGCGAAAGAACGCTTACTATGGAAATTTATAGAAATAAACTAGGTTGCTATGTCATTTTTATGCAATTTCCTCAAATAACGTAGAAAAAAACAGCATGTAAACTATAGCTATTTACAAGGGCCGTACAGTATACATTGTATAATCCGTTCCCCTGCCAATGACGTCAGTAAGGCATTTCAGCATAAATTAGCATATCGGGAATTTCTTCAAGATGGCGGACACCATGCATAATTAGACCAACTTCATTCGCTTTTTACTCCGAATCGAATAATTTTCATTCCAAATAAAATACATATCCTTATTAAGATAACCAACGTGAACAAAAATAGCCAATAAAAAAATCCGTTGCCAATGTCCTTTAAAGATAAAGAGCAGAGCCCAGCAAATAACTTTAAAACCAAACATAATAAAAGTAAAATTTTTAATTAGCTAACGTTTCGTTGTTTACAATACAACATCTTCAGAGCAATCTAAATGAATTTACAGGGTATGGTATATATATTTACAAAATAATGGTTATCACAAACACATGCACAAACACCGAGTCTCCGCTTCCGATTTCAAAATTCTATCATCAGGCTCTTCTGAGTGGGATCTTCTTATCCGTGAAAGCCTATTAATTTATCAAATTAACCCTGTCCTTAATGCTAATATTAGATCTACCCCTCTTGAGTTATTTTAGTTATGTAATATTAACCTTAACTATACTAACCATGCACTTAACATTAATCTTTACTTATTAACTTGTTACTGATAAGTTGTTTTCCTTTCTTTCTACTCATTTGTTCTTTCAAACTATGTAACCGTTTTTGTAATATTAAACCATTATTTTGTAAATATATATACCATACCCTGTAAATTCATTTAGATTGCTCTGAAGATGTTGTATTGTAAACAACGAAACGTTAGCTAATTAAAATTTTTACTTTTATTATGTTTGGTTTTAAAGTTATTTGCTGGGCTCTGCTATTTATCTTTAAACTGAGTTATGGTTAATCTGATCCCAAACAAATTAAAGAATCATTTGGATCGCGTTTCGTTCAATCACGGTTTAATACGTTTTATTTCAGCCGACGTATTATATATATTAGGGACTTTAAAGATTGAAGTTTACGGGAAACTGCTAAGCCGCAAACGGCGAACTTCAAATCGTAATTCGAAGTCAACTGTTAGCTGTTCAGGTTTAGAGCAACTTGTGAATAAAGATTGACCTTATCTGCGGCAAATTAAGGTCAATCTTAAAATATTATTAAATTTTATACCGGTGTCTCAAAAAACACCAGGTTCTGTTTGATTTCACGTAACGTAAAGGCTATAATAAAAGCTATCGCAATGAAATGAAGATCATTGCATTCATAATAGACTAACTTATATTTTGATTAGCAAATAATCACGAAGGTGTCATTTTAAAATGAGTTCAGGGCTGGTTTACAAGACGTTTATGATAATTATGCATACACAGGTATTTTATTGAAGTACAATTCATCAACTTAAGTCCTATAAAGAGTAAAGGGAGTTCATTTTTAATAGTTTTAGACCTAATTCTCAACGGTGGAAATACGCACTTTCGGTGGAAATATGCACTTTCACATTATATGGTTCTTAGGGACGGACCATTTGATTTTTGAGGTAGATTTTCAGTTTGCTCGATATTTTTTTCCGCCTCCTGACACTGTTCGATTTTTTTTTTGTCAGTCAGAGGACTTGCACGATATTTTTTTGTATGCATGTATATACATTTTTTATTTTTTATTTTTTTTGGTATATAATAGGTAATTGGACAAGTATTGGTGTAAGACATTGTGTAGTCTAAATAATGAGAGGACCAGTATTCAAAAAATGGTTGTTCTTTATTTCTTTACTCCGACTCCTATGATGAACATGTACGTAAAAAACTAGGGAAACTACGATTATATATAGAAACTAAAGTAGGTGAAATTTTTATGGGATTCCATAAAAGGTGAGGATATAAGAGTGAGAGATTGAAATTGAGTAGGAAAGGCAACCCTACACGCGTTTCGACCTAACAGTCTTCTTCAGCAGGGGTTTTTAAAGGGGAGAGGGGGTATATAGAATTTGCAGAGGTGAAGAAAGGAGAGTTTAGGAGTTCGGAAAATAATGTGAACTTGGATCCTCTACGTAGCAAAATCCACACCAGAACTAGCTATAGCTATCTATTTGTCATATCGTATCATTCATTTACTAATCTCTGTTTTGGTTTTTGTTATATATGTACATGTTTTAGTTATTGTATATTCATATATTTTAAACAAAAATCAAACCCTGCACGGGGTTATAATTATTTTTATCCCTTATGTATCACTAATTGCCAAATGCCCCTATCCCTGTCTTATAAGCTCCTACACCACTAACACCATATTTGGATGCAATCACCTACAGTCACATGATCACCCTTACCATCACAATCATTCAAACTCACTATACCATTGAGTAATTTAACCTGCAAATTTGCTTCACTTCACCAATACGAACGATGAACAATAAAGTGCGTAGTGTTGGAATGTCCCGCAAACAACAAGACCTTTGGTAGGATAACTTGACTAATAACATGTATAATAGTTACATCCTTTCACTGTGTAATTGGTTATTTTCAGTTATTTCGTAATAATTTGTTTTCCTCTTGGTCTCACATTATTTTCCGAACTCCTATAAACTCTCCTTCCTTCTCCTCTTCAAATTATATCAACCCCCCCCCTCCTCTTAAAAAAACCCTGCAGGCTGAAGAAAACTGTTAGATCGAAACGCATACCCCTGCACGCTATTCCTACTCAATTTCAATCTCTCGCTCTTATATCCTCGCCTTTGATCGTGTCCCATAAAAATTTCACCTATTTTGGTTTCTACGGCCGTGATTTAAACGTGATTTTTAAATTTAGAGTCTCTGAAATGCCATTTCCTGGACCCTGCAGCCCCCCGGTTGCTACATACGGCCCTGGGCTACACGCGGAAATGCACCGAATGGCAAATAAGGATTACCACTCGAAAGTCTTGCACGATATTTTTTTTAAGTTCGAATTGCTTGCCCGATATTTTTTTGGGATTCTACCCACCCCCCATCAAAAATCAAATGGTTCGTCCCTTACAACTATTCAAGTCTTCATTATATGAAACGATTTCATTAGACTGCACACATTTCAAAACGGAAAGCGGTCGCAAAATGTCGATCGCTTCACAAATTGCTGAATGCAAATATACCTTAAATACCGGGTGTCTCAAAAAAAAACTCGACAGCATTTGAGTTCAGGTAACGTAAAAGCTATAAAAGCGATAATGCATTCAGAAATGACTAACTTCGATTTTGATATATAGCACTTGAATTTACATGCAATATTGATTGCGCTATTGATGTTAATCTGAACGTTGAACTAATGTTTTTGAAAATAACAAAAATTAGCATACAGTAAAACAACATTTATAATTATATCTACTCTTTAATCTTTAATCTTTAAAATTCTTTAAGCACGGTAGCCATTTAGCATGCTACGCTGATTTTCAATGGGCCGTGCACACTATACAACATTTATTAACCTAATTCTATAATACAAAATAGTGAAGCCTATACATGCTGGTCAGCTTCACACTATAATATATACTAATACATTAAACAACTAATTATTCTAATTATAGTAAAAACTACTGATTATAACTGATTAACCCAAGGGGACTTAATCGGTTCTGTAGTGATTGATGAGCATTGATTTTGCAACATTTAGTGTGATATTGCATTTTCAAAAACAGTATAGTTCAACGTTCAAACACGGCAATAGCGCAGTCAATATTGCATGTAAATTCAAGTGCTATATATCAAAATCGAATTTAGTCATTTCTGAATGCATTATCGCTTTTAAAGCTTTTACGTTACATGAAATCAAATATTGTCCAGGTTTTTTTATGGCGTGGGGCACCCGGTATTTAAGGTAGATTTGCATTTCGCAACTTGTGGGGCGATCGACATTTTGCGACCGCTTTCCATTTTTAAAATGTGTGCAGTCTAATGAAATCGTTTCATATAAAAAAAGACCTGAATAGTTGTAAGAACCATATATTGTGAAAGTGCATATTTCCACCGAAAGTGCGTATTTCCACCGTTGAGAATTGGGTCTAAAACTATTGAAAATTAACTCCGGCCCTTTACTCTTTAGGACTTAAGTTGATGAATTGAACTTCAATAGAAATTAGAATACTTGCGTATGCATAATGATCATAAACGTCTACCAGCCATGAGCTCATTTTTAAAATGACACGTTCATGATTAATTGCTAATCAAAATTTAAGGGTCCCTTGAACTATATATATTGTTATGGGTCCCTTGAACTATTCATTCAACAATTTCGACATGATATAGAACTACTCCCCAAATTTAGGCCCAAAAGGCCATCCAACCTCACTGACAATGAATTTGGCGCCCTCCAATCACTCCATGCTCGTAATGACATTGTTATCAAACCTGCTGATAAGGGTGGTGCCTTAGTTGTTTGGAGAGCTGATTTAAACCGTAATGAAGCCCACCGACAATTGGGTGATGCCACTTTTTACAGGAGGGTTGACAAGGATTTGACTTCCATTCATCAAACCACCATCACCCAGACCATTCATAAATTTATCAACACTGGTGATCTCCCTGAGACTGCCAAAAACCTCATACACATCACACCTCGCACACCTGTCATATACTTCTTGCCCAAATTCACAAACCTGACAACCCAGGTAGACCTATTGTATCTGCTTGTGGTTGTCCCACCGAACTCATCTCCAGTTTGCTCGATCGTGTCATGGCACCCTTGGTTAAGGACTTACCATCCTATATCAAGGATACCAAGCATGCTCTTCAAATTCTCCAGAACATTCATTTTCATGGCACTCACAAATTCATTTTCACCATGGACGTCAAATCCTTATACGCTGTAATTCCGCATCATGATGGTTTGAGGGCCCTCAAATTCTTTCTAGATAAACGCCCTAACCAGGAACCGGCCACTTCTGTTTTGGTCCGATTGGCTGAGTTGGTGCTTACCCTCAACAATTTTTCCTTTGATGATGGTGAGCATTACCAACAGATAAATGGTGTAGCAATGGGAACTAAAATGGGACCCAACTATGCTAATTTGCTTGTTGGTTTTGTGGAAAAACAAATCTTCGAACAGTACACTGATGCCATCCCTGATTACCTTGGTAGGTACATAGATGACTGTCTTGGCACAGTATCATGTTCTCGTGTCGAATTGGAACGCTTTATTAACTTTGTTAATAATTTTCATCCAGCACTCCAGTTCACATGGGAGATCAGTGAGACCAGTGTATCATTCTTAGATATCCTTGTATCAATCAATGGTAACAAATTATCTACTTCTGTGTTCTACGAGCCCACTGACTCCCATAGCTATCTTCTATTTTCCTCTTCCCACCCCAACCACACCAAAAGGTCGATTCCCTTTTCTCAGTTCCTTCGTCTTCGCCGCATCTGCAGTGAAGACGAAGATTTTCAGGCCAAAAGTCTGGAGATGAGACACTTTTTTGTCCAGCGTGGTTATCCTACCTCTCTATTAGACACTGTCTTTTCGAAGGCCTCCCAAATTCCCCGTTCTGACACCCTCACAGACCCTATGTCTAATGTCACAGGCAACAACAAAATCCCCCTAGTATTAAATTAACTATCATCCTTTCAATTTCAAAGTTAGAGATGTCATCAACAAGAATTTTCATATTTTGAAAAACGACCCTGAAACATCTTCCATTTTCTCCGATAACCCCTTAGTCTCTTTTCGACACAGCAAAAATATCCGTGAAACCCTTGTCCATAGCTCCCTAACACAGGCTTCGACGTCACAGCAAGGCACTTTTCCTTGCCTGTCGTCGAAATGTAAAACCTGTGATTTTATAGATTGCACCACTATTGTTTCGGCACCTAAATCTGAATTTCACATCAAGCACCATTTCACGCGCGCCTCCTCCCATCTCATCTACTGCATCTCTTGCAGTAGATGTGGCATGCTTTACATTGGGGAAACTGGAAGATGTTTAAGGACAAGGTTTGGTGAGCATCGGCGTGCAGTTATTGGCAATGATGCTAACCAACCTATTGCCAGACATTTTAATGATGGCAATCACAGTGTTTCAGATATGTTAATTCGAGCCCTCTGTCACATTTCTGGAAGCAACGATAGCCGCGAACGACATGAAATGCGCCTCATATCCGAACTTGGCACTGTTCACCCTTTTGGCATTAATGAACGTTTCTCTTATGTTTAATGCCATCATAGACAATCCAGAAGACATGTCTTCTGTTTTGTCTATGATGCCATCTGTTTTTGCCTGTTTATAGCAGACATTGACAACTTCTATTTATTACTTTTACTTTTACCTTATTCCCACACGTGTTTTGTTTTGATTATTATTTTTTGTAGTAATTGTCTTAACTTCCTGTTTATTTTTATATTTTTAATTATATTATATTCTGTAATGCGATTTATATATTTTGTTTACACTTTGTTATTATTAAATCCATCTAATTGGTTTATTTTTTGTCACGTGATGCTTTCATACTCTTAGTATAAAAGCCCGTGCATTTTCCCCGATCCCTGCTACTAACTCTTGACGAAGGGCCTTCGCTCGAAACGTCGAGTTTCTGCTTATTTTTTAAGGTAGTAATATAACCACTCAGCACAGCATTTTATTATGAATGCCATGCTCTTTATTTTATAGCTTTTACGTTGCATGAAATCAAACAGAGTCCGGTGTTTTGTAGGACACCGGTATACAATTTGAAAATATTTTAAGATTGACCTTTACGGCAGAAAAGGTCAATCTTTATTCCTTTATTAGCTAAAAGTAGCTAAATCATAGTCCAATTTTTATGCACAAGTTGCTCTAACTTCGAACAGTTTAGCAGTTGACTTCAAATTACGATTTGAAGTTTGCCGTTTGCGGTTATCGGTTTGCCGTAAACGTCAATCTTAAAGTAATATATACAATACGTCGGCTGAAATAAAACGTATTGAACCGTGGTTGAACGAAACGCGATCCAAATGACAATTTAATTTGTTTGGGATCAGATTAACCGTAACTCGTTTACATCTTTCAAACGTTGGGGTTTAACTCGAAGAACAAAATGTTTGACTTTGCTCGAGTTAAGCCCCTATTTTCTAGAGGGCTTAACTCGAAGTACCTAACTCCAGTTATGTACTTCGTGTTAAGCCCTCAACGGAAATGGGTGTGACATGGGCGTGACATGGGCATGGCATGGGCGTGGCATGGGCGTGGAATGGGCGTGGAATGGGCGTGTAATGGGCGTGGTCGTGGCTTAACTCGAAAGGGCGTGGTTGGGGCTTAACTCGAAGGGCTTTACTCGAAGATTTGCTACCCCCATTTGACTCAACTTTGCCTGGCTGAAAAATTACCGAGAATGCAGCGCGATATACAACGATGATCATTGTTGAAAATCCGCAACTTTTCCCTTGTTCGACCGACAGTATATGGTTCGCTACTTGAGGACGATGCGTGTGTACAGCAAAGTAAAACCAACTCCAATTGCGCGCCTTGTCATCCGAGACACAACAAATTAAATTTTTAACGTAACGCTCTTGTTCAGACTTAGTATAGTATAGTATAGTATAGTATAGTATAGTAAAACTTTATTTAACCACGCTTCCCTCATGATCATCACCCATGGATGATTTTCATGAGGGGCGTCACACAAATTACATTCTAAAAACTAATATTAATTAAATATGAAATAGAATAACTCAGAATAACAAATACGTAGATAAGAAAGTTAAAAAACCAAGACTATTCGATGCCTGACTCTGTAGCACACATTATTTTATCAAATTTTTGAAGCTACTTAAAGATTTTGTTTGCTTTGCCTGCGTAGGTAAACTATTCCATAGAACAGCCCCGCTATATCCAAAACTCTTTTTTAAATATTCAGTACGTGGTTTAGGAACTGAAAGATTTATATCAGCATTTCTGAGATTATAATTAGCACTGAAATTTATGTCCCTTGTTAT